GCCGGCTTTTCAGCAGGGAAAGGGCTGGTGCCGGGACGGGGGTGTCCCGCGGGCTCTGCCGGCTGCCCGCACCCTTCCCCACAGCAAATCGGAAGCAGCTTAATGTTGGCCCTAGATTGGCTTAAGATTTAATCTCAGGTCCGAATGCAGGTTTAAACTAAATCGCCATGTCCCTTGTTTGCCAGAGAGGGAAAACCTGTGCTCGGATGATTACTGCTGAGCAGCTGGCTTGGGGTAACTTGCTCCAACATCAGTTGGAGCAATGATGTGTGCTCAAAGCTCGGGCAGACTGACCCATCCTTGGGCATCAGGTTGTGATCAGAGCCCCCCAAACCTATCCCAAAGCCCCAGAAAGCACTGGAGAGCAATGCTTGGGTTAGAAACCAGCACTAAACACTAGAGCTTTCCCAAAAGAAACCCAAGGGAGGTCACGTTGGCAGTAGGGTTGGGTTAGGGGTGGTGGGTGTCCCACCTGGAGTGGTCGGCGCCTGGACGTGCCGCAGGGGAAGGCAGCTGGGTCGCTTGGCCCTCGCCCCGGCTGCCGCCTCTCCCCGCTCCTCATCTGCATGCTTCTTGAAGGAGAAAACCTTCTTGAGGCTGGACCTTCTCTTTGGGGCTTTGCCCAGCCGTGGGGATGTGTTTGAGTCCCCTCTGGGTCTTCTAGCCCCTTCTGGTTTGGAGCTGTGAGGAGCTTTGGCATCTTTTTCCTTTACTTTTTGCCCCGCATTTTCCTTCTGGTCCTCAGGGCTCTTCTTGAAGAAGAAATTTAAGACACTTTTGAACCAGGTACGTTGGATTTTGCCCTGGGAAGAGTTTTTTGTGCTTTTCCTCTTGGGCTCCGGCTCCTCTTTAGGGACCTCCCCAGGAGCTTTGGTCTCATCATCCAGAGCTTTGTCCTGGTCTGATGCTTTGGGTCCCTCCTCCTGGTCCTTCTTGGGGCCGAGTTTGGCACTCGAATACTTGCAGAAGTCGCTTTTTGACCGTTGCAGCCCACCTGCCTTCTTCCCTTGCCCTCCAGCTCTCTCCTGAAGTGTTTTTTTGGCCACCAGCGAGTTTTCACAGCAGCTCAGCGAGCGCCTGACGTAGATCTCCAGCACCTTCTTGGCCCCTTGCCTGTCCAGCGAGAGAATCTTGCCCGATGGCTGCCTCCCCACATCCCACTGAGGCTTCTCCGCAGCCAGAGCCTGCATGTTGCTGTGGAGGAAAACAACGTTTTCAGCCTGATTTTTGCTTTCTCCAAGGACACTGCGCAGTCAGGTTGGGCATGATGGAAATCACCTCCATTTTGGCTAACGCTGGAGCCCAAGGGGGCTTTGGGTGCCCAAGACTGTTTATGTTCCCAGTAAATGATCAACCCCTTTTATAGTTGTTATCTGAGTGCTCCTTACGCAGACTGCACGCGCGGGGTTTTACGACGGGCTATAGACACCGCTGATAACAGAAGTGAAACTGCGGGAAGGGGGGAGACGAACCGGGCACATCTCGGACGGAGAGCCTGGTTATCGTCCAGAGGGTTTGCTGCAGCAACGGTATCATCCAGATACCGTGGTGCTGCATCTTCCTATTGCGATGTATTCCCATACGATGGCAGAAAACTACACGCCGGGAGCACCATCCCCCCAACAGCCCAGATTTTTTAGTATCTCCCCTAAAAAAACCCAAACAAAACATTCCCCAGCAAGGCCAGGTGCTTCCGGCCCTTGGAGAGGTCAAGGGCGACGTGGGCTCTTGCAAATATCCTCAGTCACTGCCAATACTGAGTGAGCATCTTGCGATGACGCAGCCCCTCCATGAGCTCTCGCCAGCATAGGGCTGCGACCGGAGCTCAGAGCACCCGGTCCCTGCCTTTCCCACCCTTTTCCGCTAAGTTTTCAAGCAAAATTAAACAGGAGATGCTGCTATTGAAAAACCAGAGAGCCGTGCCTGTGCCTCGTGCCGGCTCCACTTCCAAAACCAATTTCAGCCTTCAGAAAACCAGACCCAAACCAGACTTTCTCCGCCGCTGAACACACAGAAAGCCAACGCTGAAATCCGGCACACACGGCGCTACAAACCGCCCTGGAGCTGAGCATCAGCCTCTGCAAAGTCCAGACGAGCAACTTCACAACGCACGAGCACACCCGCCCACCCCAACGTGGCCTTTTTTTGGAAAAAGAAGGCAAGTTTCGTTCACCCGAGCCATCACCAAAGCCATTCAACCACCCGATAATAAATCATTCATTGGATTTAACCGCAGCAAAGCAACGACCCCCGTCCTACTCCAACTGATTCCAGTTCACTGGCCGCCTCGTTCTGGATTTGCTCTTTTGGTATTTACCTTTCCATCAGTATTTCTGTCCTTATGGACATAGGTCAAGACAAGCTCCTTGGCCGCAGGCACTAAGGGTTGTCAGGCTCTCCTGGGAGGTGCCTTTTTTTATACCCGGCGCCAGTGGCTGGCTAAGTCCTATTTTTAGCATCCATTCAGGTAGGAGAGCAGCCGATGCTTCCGCCTGCGATGCCCGCTATCACCTCCCTCGTGGCAGGAAACCAGCGGGCGTGAGTTTCGCTGGAGGAGAAAACAATTTCCTTATGACAAATAGCAGCAAAACAGCATAAAAATCACCTGTCACCTGGTGTAAGCGCTGGCCTTTGAAACCGGCTATCTAAGCCAGCTCTTTGGTATTTAGCTTGTTTTTTTTTAATGGGTATGATGCCACGTATGGGCTTTTCTGGGGTGTTTTCCGCAAGGAGAAGTCATAACTTTCTCAGATCAGTGAGGTTGCAGTGCAGCCAGCGGATCGCCCTGCTCGCATGCCGGGAAATTCCAGGGAAGTGGATGCTGGGGCTGTTGTGGGACCGCGGAGGCTCCGGGGCGCGGTGCCGTCAGGTCGCTGCCCCGCGCCGAGCACGGCTGGGCTGCAGCATCTCTGAAACCCACCCTGGGGTCCTTCAGACAGCCCCTGCGCCCACCCTACAACATGAAACAGGACCGAATCCTTTGCACCCACATGGCTCCCACTCAGCCTCGCCCGGGGGCAGAGCATCTCCCAGCGCCCAACCTGCACATCCCAACAGCCACAATCTCCTTACAC